TCCATGGCTGAGCTGGGAAAGGCAGAGGAAGGAAGAGAAGGTGAAGCCATGCTCCATAGACTCTGTTGAGGCTCACAGCTTGCCTTGGCTCTCTATCTAAGGAGGAAAGTCTCTAAATTCCCTCCTTGGCAAGGGGAGGAAAGGAGGATGGACTGCCCCACCTGCCAGCCTTGGTTGAGCCCAAAATGGCATCAGAGCACTGGGGCTGGCTGAGAGAAGATGGCAAGAGCCAGAGCAGCCCCCCAATGCGAGTCTGACCCATCGTTCCCACTTGTTGAACATGGTTTGGATTCGGGTCTTTTCAAAAGAACTACCCAACAACTTGTGTCAGGAAAGAGCAGTTCTTTTGCGTTTGCCTTGCTTCACCACAATTGAAAACAAGCACAGTAGGATTGGAACAGGTTTCAAGTGGGAACAAGTCATATAACCCAATCAGCAATTTGCTTTAAACCCTAGTAGAAATGAGGTGTCAATGAGATATCTTTTATGTAGGCTGTGTTTGCACTACAGAATTAAAGCTGTTTGATACTGCTTACTCTGCCATGGCTCAATGCTATGAAATCCTGGGATTTGTAGTTTAATGAGATATTTAGCTTTCTCTGTCACAGAGCTCTGGTGCCACAACAAACTTCAAATCCCAGGATTTCATAACACTGAGCTATGGCAGTTATAGCAGTGTCAAACTGCATTAATTCTGTAGTGCAGATGCAGCCCAATCTGGTCCTGAGCGGTGCCTGATATGGGAGACGTTTTTCCCCTCAATGTGCCAGGGACAAGTACTTATTTGTGTTGACTGGTTACAATTATTTCTTTGGTTCCTGGAAACTTTCCAGGGAGTTGCAGCCAATTCCTCAGGGACCATTGCAGGAACTTTCAATAGCACTAGTTTTGATCATGTCTCTCTATGGCTTAAACTTATATCTCAGGAGATAAAATAATTCTCTATATGCTACCATGTGTGACTGTGTGTGTGTGTGTGTGTGAGGGATGAGATACTAACTGCATCATACATACTATGATATGCATGTACAGTCAGATCTCCATATCCACTGACTTTTATCCACTGACTTTTTATCCATGAATTCAAGCATTAATGGCTTGAAAATATTTTTAAAATATATTAATTCCAAAAAGCAAATCTTGATTTTGCCATTTTATATAAGGGGCATCATTTTACTATGCCATTCTGTTTAATGGGATTTGCATATCCATGGATTTTTGGTATCCATGGGTGTGGGTGGATGCTAGAACTAAACTTCAGTGTCAAGATAATGGCTGCCATGTTGGAACAACCCATTTCTTGGATGTGTTCTAATTTGTGTGTCATACCTAGGATAGTATCCTGTGGTTCACCCTAACTAGAGGACACTCAATCGATGAATTGTTGAATGGTGAGTCAACACATAGGCAAATCCAAATGATTCAGTGGCCACAATGTGTAAACACTGTGGTAAATCCAATGTTATGTCCTGCTCTGGCTTGAACTAATGTTGGATGTATCTCAAAGCTAGGAAATGAGTCAAATTCATTTCATTAAATGTCCCATGGGTTGTGTTTGCACCCTTGGTTGCCTCTCATTGGACACAAGTGATAACAAGAGTATACACGGGAAAACCAATTCAACCACCAATATACCACCTTGCTAGATAGCATTAAATATCAGATCAAACTTTCTTACTGATCCTACCATGCCATATTTATTACTAAGAAAAATCGGCACCCATCTCAATTACAATATCCTAAATAACAGAGCAACAGAATAATACTGGCAGAACACAAAGAGCAATGAGAATTACTTGCAAAATAGCCAATTGTACTTATAAAACTATGTTGCAAACTTGTATGTACATCACAAAAGCCTAAACAATTTGGTACCACATAATAATCCACTGTGACAAATTGCTGTTCAAGATTCTTTTAAAAAATTCCTCCACATACAAATACATGCAATATTCATCAACTGAACCTTGGTGTGGTACAAATCATACAATTTGATGATACTACAGAGCACAGATGATTTTGAACTGACCTGTCATTTTGCTCTAGCATTCATGCCAAGGAAGATAAAAGGCTGACCAGAAATGAGAGGTTTTGAAGACATTGGGATCTGGAGTAAACTTATGAGAATTTATTCAGTCTGTAGGAATACTTACATTGCCCATGTTGTAAGAGAATGACTTTGACTGACATTCCTATTCTCGCATTCCTATTGGTTCTAAGGAATGATAAAACCTCCAGTCTATTGTTATAATGGAAGCTACTATAAGATTCAAAGCTATACAATTCAGCACAAAAGTTAGAAACATACAAGCCATTGTATTCCCTATTACCATGTATAGACGTGAGAGCTGGAAAGTTAAGAAAGATGATAGGAAGAAAATCCTTTGAGATGTGGTGCTGGA